TCCAAAATTATCCCTTATTTACATATAATTACCACGCACCCATAACTTCACCCAAATCGCCCAAATCGCCGGGCGATGCTTCTTTCAACCTGGCCTCCCCATCATCCAGTCACATCCTGGGAAGGAACGGTGACCGCCTCGATTATCAACCGACTTGCTTGATCTGCTTGGATCATTTCGAATCCAGGGTGACCATCATCCGCGAGCTCTCGTGCGGCCACATCTTCCACCCCGAATGCATCGACGAGTTTTTGAGCGAGATGAGTTCCTTGTGCCCCCTCTGCAAGGCCTCCATGTACCCTCGGGGTCACTGCCCCAGAATAACAAATTCGATGGTGCGGAGAGAGCTGGGCACACGAAAACTCAGGTCGCGCCGCTCCTTTTGGACGGCGTTTGGAAGTGAGTGGCAGCGATTGTTGGCAAGGAACACGCCAGATAACAGGCCTTCACCCGAACAAGTGCTGATATCACGGGAGCTCGAGGTCACGGTTCCTACGCAGAAGCAGCCCAGCGCGCCAGCGACGACGACAGCGACGACGAGGGAGCGGCGTATGCAGGAGTTAGTTACGCCTATAGACGAAGCAACTAGCGACGATGGGCGTCCTCAATGTAAGCTGCCGTCTACTATATTGCCATATCGCCGAGCCATCTGACTTCCTTCTAGGGAAGCGCGTTGCATTAACGCTTTTCCCCGGCTTCGCTTGATTACCGCGACTGAGGGCGCAACAGGAGGATAATGGATGATACCTATGGGCTGGATACAAAGGTTGGCGTAGCAAGTTCGATTTTCAGCATTGGGTCGGCGTCCTGGGATTTTGTAGCGAATCACCACTATATGGCATGTGTGTGCTGGGTTTTTCGGTCCGGTTTTTGGCCTATGGGGAAACAAAATCAGGAACAAGCGTTAGGCGTTTGGAAAGGTTCACCTCCCCAACCGACCGATGGGAGCTGAGATGATGTTTATAGAAAGGCGCATTGGTTTGGATATACCCCCACCCGAACGAGTCGAACGGCATTACCTTGGTAATTATATATATCAAAATCCTATGAGACCCTCCCTCTTCCTCTTTCCTTCTTCGCCTCCGCCTCATGCCATGCAACCCAAGAAATTTTGCTTATCTCCCATGTGTCACATTGCCCCCGTCCCATTTAGATGAAGGTGCCTCGTCATCGTGAGGGGTAGCGGATGCGGTATTAAATTGCGACATCGAAAAAATCACACCACGCAGACAATATTTTGTTTTTTTTCTTCGCTTTCGCATTCCTACTCATTCTAATCTACGGCAAGAAAACTTGTTCGTTCGCTTGTTCGGTTGTTCGCTTATCCGTGAGTTGCATGCGTACAAGGTTGCCATACATACATGCAAGCAGGTAAGTAATTGCCGTGGAACTGCCGCGGTCAGAGCTTGGAGGCCAAGGTGGTTGGTTGGTGTTTGGACATAACGCAATCTGCACCCTGATTCTTGGCTTGCAGATATAGATTAAATTTTTTTTCTTCCTTTTCGAAATTGAGCGATCAATCAGTCTCTTCCAAGACAAATGGGTTTCAGCTCGGCGCCTTCACTGCCTATCCTACGACAAATGCCCAGATGCCCAGAGCCTTCACCGCTTGGACGGCAAACGGCGGCGGCAACGCCAGCCCCCTACATAAGAGATGAGAAATAGAGAGATAGAGATACCCAAGATTAGGCTCCTTTCCTGGGCATTACGACTAACACTAGATACTACACAGTCTAGCACGGCACCGCATCACTTCGTTTCGCTTCGCATTGCATTGCCTCCCTTCAGTCCTGCCAAGCAACGCACAGCTACGATAGCGAGAAGATCTGGGTTACAGGGGCTGAATATGTCGTGCATCACGGATACACTTGCCTAGTAGGGACAAGAAAGAAGCAAAACAAGGACTGATCGACTTGCTTGTCTTACTTTGTCATCGCGCCAAGAATGATGAGTTCAATATGCAACGAAATTCGGAGGAGTGGGATCGCGAGCGGTTGGTTATGGATAGCAGCGATGTCCATTCCATCTATCCTATCTAATTCCCAAGATGCCGAGTTGGGCAGTTACGTAGATAGAAAGAAGGATGGATGGATAGGATAGGATAGAATAATGGCCGGATGATCACCCTACGGACTTAGACACAGTAGACGGCGGGTAGGTAGGCAGCTCGTTACCCGAGTATATCCGCAACTGCTTGGACTACACACCACACAGAAATGTCACCATAAGTACCAGGAGGGATAGATACCCGGCTCTATCCTTCACACTTGCCTCGAGCTATTCTCTCGTAGCACTGTAGAGAAAGAAAAAAACGAGTAATGGCCGGATCCAACCGTATCAAGTAGTCTACCTGACCGCTAATTATTTATTACTTGGTCCATGTCCTTGTTCTGGCATATATCTTAGGAACAGACCCAACTATGTACTCTGAATTTAATCTTACACAATCCATCTCGGCATGGTCTGCTGGTCTGCCTACAAGATCAGAAATAGTTGAAGACTAGTTCGGTTTACTTCTGAAGTTGGGAGAGAGAATTTTCCAGATATCGTATGAACATGATCACCTTCCGTGGATATACGGTAGGAATTCTGAATACTTCCTTCACTCGCCGTTCATCCGGGGAGCATGGTCCTCCGGCATGCAATCCAGTGCTACCAACTTGTCCAGGATCTTCAAGTAAAGCTAGAGCGGCGTCTTTGAACGGAACCGTAAACAAACGCACAAAACGCCACTACCCTAAGCTACAACTTATTGATGACCACACCCAGGTTATAACGAAGGAGCAATAGATCTACATCCTACGATAATTCGAGGGCGAGGATTAGAAATATCGATCATCATCGGCAGCACAATCAACAGTAGTGTATTACTTATTCCCAGCATATTCCTGTCTCACGAGGTCTAGGAATATTCCGCTTGCGAATACCGCATGTGAAGCGGTTTCCGGCATCACAGGGATCCCGTCACATCGTCATGCTCTAATTACCCTCAGACTAGGTATCCATATTAGTGTAAATCAGTGTTAGGCATGCGATTGTAATTCATGCATTAGTGATGTTCAATCAGTCATAAACATGGCTGTTGACAACGTTCATCTATGCAGAGGATTGTCTCAGCCAAAGACAGACGGCCTCGGTCAATACCACCTAGCATAACCACCTGATAATTATTAGATGAAGCACGAATTTAGGTAACATCAAGATAGATCGTTACCAAGCATTCAGAACAGAACTACCTTCAACTCTTCAGAACAGGCTACAAGAACTCCGATGCGCTGTCTTTCAACATCGGTTCAATACCTAAGGTAGCGAACGACTCAGCCCCACGCCACCACAGACAAGCCAGCTCCGCCTCCTTTGCTAAACAGTGGCAGTGTTTGAAAAATGAACTATCGACTCCCTACAATGATCTCTGTATGTGAATATACAGAGAAATCTACAACTCACCAATTGCCAGGGAAGCATGCATTAAAGTTGCATGTGCAGCCACATGAAAGAGGCTGATGCATCGTCTTTTTTCGGATGATTGAATGATGGCCGATCCCCAACCACCAACCACAATCCCCAGTTTCCAGCTCTTACAACCCACCGACGACGCATCTGCAGGCAGTAACCATACCACTACCAACGATGAAATCGCTCAATCCCCGCTAATTATCTGCTTCCACGGCTCAGGCGAGTCATGTTCGCCGAGCTGGGACAGCCTGGTCACGAAACTCATTACAGAGATACGCTGCCGTGTCCTGCTCTGCAATCGCGGGTCGGGGAACCACCTGCCCGCGACCATCGCGGCGCAGATATGGGATTACCTACACGGTAGAGCTGAAGACCAAAATCGCAAACACAGGCATGAGCACGAGAACGGGAAGAAGGAAACAGACGGCCCGTATCTCCTCATAGCGCACTCATACGGCGGGGCCTTTGCGCGCGCCTTCATCCAGCACGAGCACGACCTTCTCCTCCGGTCTAAAAAAGATTCAACAGAGGGGATTATGGGTCTCGTACTAGTCGAGACAGGGCAAGAAGGCGGTCTCGACGCAGCGCTTGATGCGCAGCAGATCCGCCGCGTTGTAATGGGGAAGCGCCCGGTGAGCGTGATCAGGGGGAACAGTCTGCTGGGGAAATGGCGGGAGCTCGAGGAGAGGGAGAGGCTCCTTGCTACGAGCTTGTTGCCTACCTCTGCTACTACTCTTACTCTTACTCTTGCTTCTCCCACTACTCCCGCCCTTGATCATACTCCTACTCCTATTTCTTCTGCCAGCGCTAAAAGAAGAGATAATGTTGTTAAAGATGTCGCGATGCAGAGATCGCGCCTCGCCGCCGAGCGAGATATGCTCGAGCGCGTGGACGCCGAGGACGAGCGGCTCAAACGCCGACAGCTTGGGCTCTCGAAGACGAGCCGCTACGTACACATTTCGGATTGTGGACACCATGTCATCCGCGATCGCCCGGATGCAGTCGTTGATGCTGTACGATGGGTTCTGGAGAATGCGGAAGATAGTAGTAGTAAGAGGAGTTTGTGGGAAAGAGTTTGGGGTGTAATGCAGCGGTTTAGTGTGCGGTAATAGTGGTTTAAACATCAATACACGCAACTACTCTTCCTTCTTCCAACTCTGAATGTGTTCTTCATGGCTTTCGAGTCTTTTACGTGCGCGGACCCCCGCGGACTTTGATAGTCATTTCTATACGCTCATGAAAAGACGAGTATCGCAGGCGTGTTAAGCTAACAGATTAAACCACTTTTAAGAACCTATAGATTTCTTTTTTATCGCGGCATGACAGAAAATTTGAGATGCATCTATTGAATGTTAGTTGACTATCTTAACATGCCTAAGCCTTATTGATCCGGGTAGGAAAAAAGCTTCACTGTACATCGCCGGCGACACAATCGGCGGCTTACCAAGATCCGACCACCTGCACAACGTCTAACATGTTGTGAACGAACAACGATACTAAGAAGAAATACACGAGAACAACAATACAAAAAGGAAAAATTTTAATGGACGAACGGGGAATTGAACCCCGGACCCCTCCCAAGCACGGTAGAAGCAATACTAGCACAGATGCGAAGGGAGTATCATACCCCTAGACCATTCGCCCTTTGATTTGTTGAGATCGCCGAGAATAATGGATTATACCGAGCTTGCGTCGCCGGTTGCCAAATTCGGATCCTTGCGAAAAATAACCAGCAACTAATTTTTCTACGATCGCATAACTGTTGGCATTATTAAAACATCTCTATACTAATATTAACTCTCACTCTTGATACTACAACAATGAATACTTCAATTAATGCTATCGAGATAATAGGACCAAGAATATTGCATTGGTTGTTCACATGCGAAGTAGATTAATTCAGTCGCCGGGTCCAGGCGGGCCAACTAAGGCAAGGGTACGGAGTAGCTAGGGGACTAAAGGTGCTAACAGAGCCGAACAGGACGCTATCGGATCTCCATTCAGGGGCCGCGTTCAGGGTCGGTTCAGGGCACCGACGCTATGCTAATTGCTCGCGCATGGCTAATCCCCGTCGGCTCAATCTCGAAGCTTGGCACTCCAACCAGCTTGCACAATCCCTCTTCTTGGCATTTTGCACATTCGGCATTCCATTCGTATCTCCCCGGCCAGCATACCCATGGGTATTATTTATCCACGACGACTCATAGCAGCATAACCGTACGAGTACTTATTAATTACTGGCTGTACAAAATATTCCGGCATCGATGCACGGGCAATATCCGCCTCGCAGCATCCGGACCGGCATCGAGGAGGGAGGATCAGGCGTGGTCGCATCGCACAAGGGCGCGTGGGCGCGGGCGTGGGCTGAGTGACAAGATTCGCCGGAGCCGCCCTTGAGTGCCACCGGTCTCAAATGTTTGCCGACGATGTCGCCTGGCAGATCCGAAACCAACCCCTCGACGCCTACGACGCCATGGCCGCCCTCCTCCGTCGCAAATCACGCGTCGCCGCCGCTGCCGTGCTGGTCGTAATCCTATATCTCCTCGTCGGCCTCATACCCGAGAAACACGACGTGCTCTGGGGCTTCACCTACGTCCACGATAGCTTCGACTGGGCCAAGCAACCGCTCTTCTTCCCCGTGGCCGAATATACGCCCTTGCCCACCGGCCAGCCGCGGTCACTGCCTCCGGTCCAGTATGCTTTCAAGGAGGACAAGAGCCCCGACGGCGTTGCGCGGGAGGCCGTGCTCGCGTCGCGCCGCAGCGAGGTCAAGGATGCCTTTATGAAGAGCTGGAAGAGTTATAAGAACGTCGGTTTTGGATATGATGAGGTGCTGCCTGTGTCGGGAGGCGGATACGACGTGCCTGGCTTCGGCGGCTGGGGCGCCACTCTCGTCGACTCGCTGTCCACGCTCTGGATCATGGATCTCAAGGACGACTTTTATGAGGCTGCTGCTGCCGCCGTTACCATCGATTACTCCAAGACGCACGATACCTCTTGCAACTACTTTGAGACCACCATCCGGCACCTCGGCGGCCTGCTCAGCGCATACGACCTAAGCAAAGAGACCGCCTTGCTGGAGAAGGCCGTTGAGCTTGGCGACATGCTATACATGGCGTATGATACTCCGAATCGCATGCCTGGTTTTTGGTTCGACTTTCAGGACGCCAAGACGGGGAAGCAAGTTGCTGGGAATCACGATCCAGCGGCTGCCGTGGCCTCGTCGTCTCTGGAATTCACCCGCCTGTCGCAGCTCACCGGCGACAACAAATATTATGATGCGATCAATAGGGTAACCCAGGTCTTGGACGAATGGCAGAACAGGACAAATCTCCCCGGCATGTGGCCGACATACTTCGACTTGCGAGAGATGCAGCTGGACACCGACTTTAGCTTTACGCTGGGCGCACTCTCCGATAGTAATTACGAATATCTTCCCAAAACATTCGCTATTCTAGGTGGCCTAGATCCGGTGTACGAGAAGTTATACCGAGATGCGATGGATACAGTAATTAAGAACATACTATATCGACCCAAGCTGCCCGACCAAGCCGACATCTTATTTACGGGTAATGTTTGGGTGTCGAACAACGAACCGACCCTGACTGCCGAGTCCCAGCACCTCTCATGCTTTGTCGGCGGCATGTTCGGGCTCGGCGGGAAGCTATTTCAGATCCCAGAACACGTCACGATCGGCGAAAAGATCACAAAGGGCTGCGTGTGGGCCTACAACGCCATGCCGGCCGGCATCATGCCCGAGATATTCAATCTGATCAAATGCGAGACCCTGGACCCGTGCGAGTGGAGCCAGGAAGAGTGGGAGGTCGTCGGCAACACGGCGCTAAAGCCCGGCTTCAAAAACGCGCGCGACCCCCGCTATCTGCTCAGGCCCGAGGCCATCGAGAGCGTCTTCCTCATGTACCGCATGACGGGCGACGCTGAGTATCAGGATATGGCGTGGACTATGTTCCAGGCAATACGCAATGCTACCGAGACCGATATTGCGTTCTCGGCTATCCAGTCTGTCAAGGTGGCTGATGCGGATACTGTCAAATCCGATTCGATGGAGGTAAGTACATCTGCGATTTCGAACGCACTCACGCCATTCGCGATACAGCCGCTGATTTGGTAACTGCTTGCTGACGTGTTGTAGAGTTTCTGGCTGGCCGAGACTCTGCGGTATTTCTACCTCATATTTTCATCGCCAGACCTAATCCACCTGGACGAGTTTGTCTTCAACACGGAAGCGCACCCGCTGCGACGGCCCGTGCCTTTCACGGCCGAAACAGAAACGGAATAAGTAATCCGATACATGAAGAGTACCTATACGCTTAAGGGTACGCTTGAAAGTATGCTTACAAGTACGGTTGAAAAATACTCTCGAGTTCCAAGCATGGATTGGTTGATTGATTATTAAGACAATGGCCAAATAAATAGTCATTGCATTGTTAAAGAATTAAAATCTAATGAGTAATGATGAATAGAAACCTGCGTTTGGATTCCCAGCATGGTGGACCGACAGACAGACAGACAGACAGCAGATAGACTATAGTGAGATTAGGCCCGTGCATAATCTATATGTACGAGTCTGAGGCATAGGTTAGCTTAATATAAGTCTATGTGACTCTTTTATGAGATTGTCTTATCACCCGTGTCTTGTCATTCATGTCTTGTCTTATATCTGTCTTTGTACGAGGTGCTGTGTACGATGTAATGTGTCCCTCAAATGTGCGATATCAAAGACCCGATTACTATTTCAAGGCCACGGGGGATATTGCATGCTACACTTTACGTTCCTTTGGATAAGTATAACAAGTGATAGCCTGATACTGAGCTTCATTTGATTTAATTGATTGACTGATTGATTTAATTGACTAACTGATGGATTTAATTGATTGACTGATTGATTAACAGTATTTCCCGTTAAACAGGAGCTACCTGTGACAGCAATACAGTTTCTCACGCCTTCCAAGGGGCATCAGGTAGGTCTAACGCTACTATCTCCCTACTTACTGTCTACAGGGAACCATATACATCTAGCTTAGACGTCTCCCGGCATTACGTTACTTCAAGTCTGAAAAGAGCTGATAGTTCTTGACCCTACGTTTCTACCGCAGGTATGGCTTGGCCCTCGCCGGGAGGGACTAAGCTAAGCTAGCGAGGATAAGAGGTTGGCGGAAATGAATGAAAGGCTCTAGGTAGGTAGGGAGGGAGGCTGAAATAAGCCCAGACAGTTTGCTTGCGTTTCTGTGACTACATACTCGTCCTCGTTGAGTGTACATTGCTTTTGTGTACATTCACCCAGATGAGTCTGGTGGCGAATATTACATAGGTGCTCCTTCTGCGTGTTTAAATACCAATAATCATAGGTGCTTCTATCAGGCATCTGAGGACATTTGAGGAGCGAAGATATAAATATCCAACTCTTCCTTCCAGGCTCCCACTCAAGTAGCGAACACGAACACAACACCTAGACCACATGGACTGAATATTACATCAGTGACATCAACTACTACTATAAATACGCATATCGTATCGTAGTAATGCGATCGCCCTAATTGCCACATGGCTGCTTCGGGGGCATATATCGTACATATCGGTAAGTCAAACCAGCCGCTGCTACAAATACATAACTGAGTGTACAGTAGTATTATGTCATCCGGGCTTCCGCGCCATTTGACTGCAGGCGAAGTAAAAAGCCATAAGCAGGTGCGCTTATTGGTAAGACGGCCTAGATCTCTTAGGTGGTACAGTACACTTGTGTAACGCGAAATCTGTCAAATCTCAGAGTGTGGCCAATCATGGCGGTTGAACAGGTACTTGTGTGCAGGAGTGAGATGATTACCTATCCAAATACAAGATACGTCGTATTACCGTGAATTCGATTGGGTAATTATCTGGGTCTCCTTGGCGAACTGGCACAGCACAGCACGGTCGTTAGGTGAGGTGAGGTGATTGAGGCGTGTGACTGGGAGATCATTGGTAGGTAGCTGAAAAGTTGGCTTGATGGCTCTTGGTTGGATCACCGCGGACCTAGGTCATAGGCTACGGTTAGGTATTTGTATAATCGAATTACTGGCAATGTAACTGCAACAGGGATTTCTGCTGCTGCTGCGAATGGCTATCCCTTTGACTGGCGTTTCCGCACCGTGACTTTCTCTGCCCCACACCACCCCACCTCCGTTATCGATAGCAACAGCGACCACCCCAACACGCTTGTCTGCTTCTTTGACCCCAAAACACCCGTACTAAGACAACAGGTTGAATGAAAATAGCTATATTGTTTGGAATCGTAGATTCTATTGTACATTTGAGTATTTTTTTTTAAATTCTGAAATTTCGCGTGATTGGGGTACTAGTACGAAGGGGGCTATACTATTAAAGTGCAGAAACGAAGTATCTACTACGAGCTTGATTAGGTGGGAGAATAATTTAACACCGTTTGATTGGCTGGTTGCCCTTGCTACAAAGTCGCGGTGCGGAAACGCCAGTCAAAGGGATAGATATCGACTATAGCACGCTCCGGATATAGACCGGCAGCCGTCGTCGATCAGGGTGCAATTCTCGGTACCATTCATCACATCACAGCGCAGACAGACAGCTGTGGTCGCCGAACTGACCCCGGCCAGTCGGCTGGCTTGGTG